TGGCAGCTTTTCGGTTTGCGGACCAAACATCGCAGACCTTTTCTCAAACTGATTCATACATCTGGTCTTTTTACTTCTAGCGGACCATCTACTAGTGCTCTGGATGTAGAACAAATCATCCACTTCGTAAGCAGCTCCCCAGACACGGCCGATTTATACTACCAAATCCAGGCAGACTGATGTCATCGAAATGGTTGACGACGGCGTGAGCTTCTGGCTGTCTTGGTCGGGGCTTTTCAACGTCCATCCAAATCTCACAAGCCACGCAGCGCTACGATTCAGCATGAACCGAGGGATTGCGCACAGTTTGACACTTCTTCGGGACACGAAAACGGTGCGCTAACTCGCTAACATAGATTGGCGGCACATGGTAGCTAATGGCTGGGGATGCACCAACCAATGGACAGCCGTGGTAGATGCTTTCCAGTTGATGAGTTGTGCATAGCTTAAAATCCAAGAGGCTTGCGATCATGAAAAAAACATACTGTCAGTACTCCACTTTCAACGCCACTGTCTAGGCATTTTTTGCCCATTTACCTCATTCGTAAGCAGGGACGTTAAGTATGAACCGAAGCTTAGGACTAATAAGGTCCTTTTGCATGTTGTTAAGTACACTTCCCTCTTACTGCTGGGTTATAACGCAAGCAGAAAGTAACCGAACTGAAACTATCGCACATACCTCGATCGGCTGAGTCCCTTTTACCTAAAAAGTCAAAGAATTCCAAGTAAAGAGGTGTGAAAGTGCGTTGGTACAATTATATGTAATGAATATTCACAATCCCCAACCATGAGATGTGAGTTTAATTCCATTCGGGTCTTGTTGGTTTGAACCCCAAGGAGTCCGCAAGTTTACTGGGGGAAAATTCACTTTCCGTGAGTGCGGTGGAAATTAAAAAGGTTCTGTCCTGACTAGCAATATTATTTATGGAGTACGTTCAGCTTAACGTCTCGTTATTTTCAGCGTCCCGACCGTGATTCGTCTCCGTCAAGATGATGGCATGCCGAATCATGCCTGATATAGGCTATCTTCCGGCTAATATACCAACCTTTTCCAAACTTCCGGGTCATATGTGGTTATGTAGTCGCACCTTGGGCAAACAAGCCCCAGTCACTTGTAATAAGGGACCAGTAGTAATATAGGATTTTTACAGGTGGGGTCGGGGAACGCACAGACGACGAGGTCAAGTAATTGTATGCAAAATAAAAGCTATCGGGAACGCGCGCTTGAACCCCCAACCCAAACCCCCTATCCGCAGCACTAAATCCTAACCCTGAAGCAGCCAGTGCGAAACTTAGAAGGAGACGACAGGCCGAAGGCAAAGAAGAACCATTGGTATTGGGCCAAAAATGTAGACACGGCAACAAAGAAACAAGGCCACCGACAGAACGCACAGCAATAGCACGCCAACGTAATCACACCAACTCAAACTAATTAAGTAGGTCAACAGTGTTGTGCGTATAAGGTGCGGCCATATAACCACATCCTGCCAACCTAAGCTTTCGGAACTCAACAATTAACCCAACCGTCCACAGTTTCGTGTGCCAAAGTAATTTCCTACGACATTCACCGGTTGCTTGTCGTCGGTTCTTCGCCAATTCAAGCGGCCTTTCTTCTGTAGCCAAGAAGTGGATGTGGGCAGTCCATGCGACAGCTGCACGGACGCATATTTGGGCGCTAGGTTTCCAAGCCAGCATTTCCAAAGATCTCAGGCTTCCCGGATGCTCTCCCACGGAAAGGCTTGTAGGAGTCTGACTTCCCGGTCAGATTCTGCCAACTCGGTCTCCCACAGCAAACCAGTTAAGGCCCTTCCAACTGGGCGAATCTCCTTCGTCAGTCCATCACGTCTTAT